TTTTTTCTCCCCCTATTGCTCCTGTCATTCGGTTGTTGCTGTTGTTGTTGTTGTTGGTGATGGTGATGGCAAAGCGGTGACTGGACGTTGCCAAACAAAAGTGTCTATTGTTACCAAGAGGACAACAATAGAGGCTTTTACATCATTGTTTATTAGCGTCCTCCACCCCCGGTGGGAAATCACAGTCAACAGGTAAAAATATGTGCCTCGCGTTTAGTAAAGGAGTTGCAATTAAGACAAAATTCGTGGCTCGCAAGTGCAGCCGGATAACAAAAGGTCTAAACAAACATGAAAAATGGGGATCGTCTAAGGTAAATATTTGGATATGGCTTAAGATTTATTTAAAGAGGTTTCAGTCATTCCCCATAATTTCTCTGGAATCGTTATAGGACACACTGGTAAGGAGGAATGGCGTTAGAGGCGAATACCTTTTGGGGATGGCGTCAAAGACTAGACGCCGTTCTACGATGCTCATATTCTGTAGAACATCCACGATTAGCGGGTAACGCTTGACTAGTTACGATGCTGGGAAGAAAAGTGTCACGTGCTGAGACTATGATGTGAATCGCTGCATTCGGAGGTGCATGATGGGCCTCCTCCCTAAATTCCTACATCTCCCTTCATCAGTGGCCATCGCCTGGAGTCGGGAATTGGAGAATCATAACAAGTGGGCACTTTTTTGGCTCCTCATACAATGAGTCTGCATTGGTTTGGCAATCTATGGCAAATATCTGCTTTCTGTGATGTTTAAGCGTGTAATTAACCTGCGAAGGTGAGATCACTCTTCCCATGGATTTGGTTTGTTCTAGGCGTGGCTGTTTAGAACCGCAAAGTCATGAGATCTTACGCCTTTTTGTTTTTAGCCTAGAAGAGTTAACAATTAAGTCATTTTTTCTAAACCTTTTGATTGATATGTGGATAGGCGTACTAATTGAGAGTCGATTTACCATAAATCCTACAAACCTGACTTCTGATTGGTCAGTTTAGAAGGTAATTACCACCGACCAATAGGTGATAGGCGGGAGGGAGGCACCATGGAGGTGGGTTTCTGACACCGCGGTACTCTCAATTTTTGCCATATACAATTATAGGCTTGAAGACATTGTGCGTAACGCCTCCGGTAGAGCTCGAATGGAGTGTCAAGATGACTGGAGGTGCGAGTATTGACTGGCCCTGACGCAATTGATCACCGATGTGCTGGCACACCCACACACACATGCACACACATCAACATAAGTGGCTGTGTCTGATTGTGCGGGTGTGTGTGTGTGTGTGTATGGTTGTGTGTGGTGTTTTCGTAAACATGCCGGTTGTTGCACCATGGGAGAATGAATAATTGACATGTTTTATTGCCTATCGAGATGGGTTAAAATGGCCCATACACACGGTTCCCCATTTTGTATATGCGCTTCCAAGGTGTAAACTTGCTGTTTCTTGCAAAAGCCACTTAAAACAAGTCAAATGGTTGTTGTGTCTGTTCCACAGATAGAAAAATGTCACCTCTTAAGGGGTAAATTAGGTTTGCCAAACCATTTAATAATGCGAGTTGGTCAATTTCCCTACCAGTCACAAAGTAAGTTGGTCATATGAGAGGCAGGTCTGAGCCAAGGAGAGGCCAAGTTAGTGGGGTCGAATAATATGGTTACTAACCGGAAAGCATCAGTCTGGTCGACGAAATTAGCACATTCATTCATCCCATTTTCACCCACTTAACTAAATGCCCTTTTTCCCTAAAAATGTAACGTTGCAGCTTTTTCCCATTTGTCCTTTAGGCATTTTTAACTTTATTTTTTCAAACATCTAAATTTGAAACAAATCGACTGATGTATTATCACTTGCTCCCTCCAAGCAGCCTCATTCAGCCCATGCGCGCTATCCACCACCCAAGCCATGGTCTCAATGCCAGCCTGTCCCCAATTCTGCACGTAGACCCCATCTGTGTGGTTAAAACCGATTCCTTAACCTTCCATAGTGTAACTTCCCACTTAAGCCACTTACTGGCCTTAGAGCATTCTGTCATTTTTTAGCCTCTAGAATGCTTGGAGCAAAATCACCTGATTTGGAAATATTTAGATATATTATATTTATATTTATTAGATATTAGATAGAATAAAACTGATTTCTAAGGAATTAATCTTTCGTGAAATAGGGGATTCGTTTAAATTAGCCTCATATCCAATGAACCAATCACAACATCGGTCGATAAATTTGATCAGCCAATCAATAAACGCTCTTGTCGGAATTAAAAAAAAAGATTTGATAAACTTTGAGAACCTTTTGCTAAGCCTGAAAAAAACTTACAAGTAGATTATTTGGACCTTCCTTCCCCTATGTTCCCTCCAAATGGGCCAAAATGCACTACTTTTTGTTGTTCCCACCTAACATTGATCGGATAAATTCTCAATTTGTAAATTTTCCAGCTATCACCGGTCTGTTAGCATTGAGGACCACTGATGTTGATTATTTACGAGCATCATGATGGATTTGTGAGGGTGGCAGGACTGGTGGCGGATTGGGAGGAGAACGGGGCACAGAGAGAATCTTATTTCTTGTTTTTTTGGTTCATTTCAAGGTCGTGTGGGCTTTCCCACGGATTAGTAGATGAAGTCCGTGAAATTGTGTGTTGGCTTCATAGAAGAAAGTGAAGAATTAAAAAAAGTGATGGAAAGTACACCCCCTTCCCCTATTTGTGTCGAGATAGTTGTGATTTTAGTGGGCAAAACTTTGTCTTCGCTATGGAAAATAAATGCTGCCTCTATCACATGTCTGTCTGGCTGCCTCTGCCGGTTTCCTTATCAGTCAAACTACATACCTACCCACCTGCCTGCCTGCCAGCTAAGTACCCTTCCTATCTATCCACCTTTCCATACGTCCACTCGTCCTCCATCACAATTCTTTGCTATCAGGGGTTGTGAGGACAGCGTCCACGGCTCAAATCAGCAAAATCGACGAGATTTAGTGATTCGATTAAAGTAGAAGAGGCAAGATCTCACCCTAGATTACCAGAGAAGGGCAAATTTCCTCCCCATGCCGATAAGATGAGATAAACAATCTGATTCCCCGGCAAATTTTTTCCATTTATCACAGTAAACGAGCAGGCAAGTGGATGGATTGAGGGCGCAACCTTCGATTCGACAAAATTTTAAGAAGGCTCGAAAAGCACTCTGACTGCTTCCCGCAAAGTAAACATCAGAGTAAATACTGGTTTCAATCATTGGAATGCAATACAGGAGATTCTACTGCAATTGCTTAAAGGTGTCAAAATTTTGCTCTCTTTTGCAGTAAACACACAGTTACACACATTGTACCCATCTTTCCACCTGTGATGGTGAATATTTTTTGAATTGAACATACAAATTGAGTAAAGCGTCTTCCAATCCAGAGGTGAGAATTTAAAAAAGCTTCGGATACCATTCTCTAAATCAGGTTGCTTACAAACTTTTCGCCTTATGCGCCATTTAAGTAGTGTACACCCAGTCATAACATCTAAATGCTTCAATCAATTAATTTAAGGAGAAATGAGAAGTAAGCTTATTTTTAAAGCTGGTTCAGCCAGCTTGCCTTCAATTTACACTTCTACATTTAATTTTCGCATGAGTATTGCCACTTTCTGAGCACTAAAAATATAAATTATTTGCAAATCCGGAAGTGGTGGCCAATAGGGCTTATCTTTACTAGCAAACAAATGAATAAACAAACAAATCGATAGAGGAATAGACAATTATTCAGACAGAGGTGTTTTCTTGTAATAGCCCACTCAATTGCCGTTACCACTTCCTACTGCCTACTGACGTCAAGACTGTGACATTTATCGCTGGCAGTGACAACACAACAGGAATCGCCGCGAAGTGAAGCATTCATCCATGAGTTTTTTTTCCATCGTACGTAGTCATATGCCTGCCTACTGGAGTAATCTCCTCGCGGCTTAAGAAATTACGAAATTAATTTGTAAGATCATTTACGACTTTTTTTAGGGCCGAAGGGGGTGGAATCTGTCATCAAAGTGACTGAAAAGTTCTTTTACAAGGCCACTCCAAACCCCAATTATTTGACTTAACTTGGTTTTTCTTTTTGTTATAAAAACAAACATAAATCTGTAAGTTTTTACACTTCACTTTTTTTAAAACAGAACTTCCTACGTAATTCTAAAATGTCACAGTTAAAATGACGAGGATGGGAAATTAGCCTTCTTATTATACGCCTTGTAAGTAAATTTTTGATGTGGGGTTTGGTGAATTCGGAATTGAAAAAGAAGGGAGGAAATTTGATGTCTTTCCAACAATGCCACTGGACCAGGCTATTATGCAAGTAGCCTGAAACCATGGTAACCACATGGACTATCTGGCTATTCGTGGGTTTCGCATGATTTGCTGGCCAAACTCCCCTCCAAGAGGAGTAGAGTGATTTTCACACATTTGCCGATTTACTGACGATCTGCAAGGTTGATGCTCTCCCCTAAAGGTGTAGAAAAATTGCCTATTTTTAGGGTACAGAAGAAGAGGTGGGGCGCTGGAGGTATGCGACCTCCTCCGTGCTAACAAAATAGTGGCAAAAGCCGTGGTAGCTGAAGAATTCGGGATGTTGCGGATACACTTAAACAAATGCCGTTTCGCTGAAGGGCCAGGAGGGCATTCCTGATTAGGTAGATGTAAGGAGAGAGGAGGTAATAAAAATTTGACTATTTATTAGGGAATTTGTTTGGGTTTGATGAAATTTCCACTCCTCAGTCAATGAATTTTGAAGTCGCGAACACGCCAAGTACTGATGATCCGTTAAGTTTGAGGAAAGAATGTACCAAGAAAGTGGTGTTTTACAAGCACCTAACGTTGAGGAATGAGTAGGCAGTGTGAAAACTCCTGTGTTTTTCCATGAAACAGCTGCTAGCTTACAAGTGAAATGAATCACCTCAAGGTCATGTCATGCACACACCCAAAGATTGTGACACCAAATTTTGTGAAGGGCAAGGTTCCTTGGAATCAATTGCACTGTCAGTGCATCCCATGTCTATCTACCCCTCAATTTTATCCATTTATCCCTCCCTTATCCAACCGTCCATCCACCTCGCTTCCCACCTTCCCATCCATCCCTCCCCTATCCACCCGTCCATCGACCTCGTGTCCTACCTTCCATCCATCCAATATTCAGCAGTCCATTCGCCTCCACTTTATTCCTCCGCTCTTCCGTAAGTTCCAGAACCTTTGTTAGCGCTTCAGCACAGTGAAAACAATTGGAGGTTTTAATGAGTACTTTGTTCTCCATTCACGCCGGTGGCTGCGATCATATGACACTTGCCGTTTGGCACCTTTAAATTAGTTGCTGGGTATTTACAGCCTCATTTGCCGCAAACACTTGACAGCACCCTTTTGAGTGGATGATGCACTTTAAACAAAGTGACTAGAAAAGAAGAAAGGATTTCTTAGGTTATGAATGAAATTAGGAAGAGGAGTTTTAAAGATTTTAGAGAATCATGACAAACATTGGCGCTCTTGATGGACTGAATTGTGGCCTGTAGAATTGGCATAGAAGGTTTATTTTAGGGATTTTATTGCTAAGAAATTGAAATATTTTAGGAGTAAAAATTTAGTGTCAATGAATGTCTTACCCTCTAGTGCTGAAAATGTCCGTGGTGGGTGGATACAGTGAGTTCACGATAGAGGTATAACGCAGGCAAAGTTTGATGCGTTTGAGGTGAATGAAAGAGTCTCGGACAGGGAGAAGTGGATCACGGATGAGCTGATGAATGGATGCCACAACCACGAGCCAAGTAATGGATCTGAAATCGAGAGATGATTAGCGGGTCAATAGGTCAATTAAATGGAGCAGCTTGATTAACCCTTGAAAAAAATCCTCTCCAAAATCCCATATGCTCATTTTGTAAAAGGCTAAAAGAAATGTAACTTTAACTTGTTATTTTGAAAAAACATGGTTTCATTAAAACCTGACCAACATAGACGAGAAGTGTAACAATTGAAAGCGGTCCACTGATGCTATGCAACCAAATTACCTCCTTGGAAGCCTCAACTGCTATTCATTTCTTCTTCAACAGTGCCGAAGTACCACCTTCTGCTTCCGATCACCTCATGACTGCGTTGAATAGGGTGAAGACCATGTGGCATGCTGTCACCTCGTTTTGCTCAGCCAAATGTTGACGCAATCCAATCAACGAAGTGGCATCAAGAAGGATGGAATAGCATTCTAAGATAAGCTAAGTGGCGTGGACAGAATAAGCACTTCTGTTGGCATTTGTGTCACACCGGCATGGTGACCACCCTCCCTAACCACCTTCCTCCCTCTCCCTCCATCTCCCACTACCCTTTCTCTACTCCTCTCTCTCACACCTCTCCATCTCCCAATTAGTCGCCACAGATGAAGAGGTTAAAGGAACTCATACACCTTCCAATTAGAGTAATGTAGAAGGACAACATCTCTCCTCCAGTAGACCAATCCACTTATCACACCAGGAGGGAGAAAACTCGGTGTGATTCCCTCCTCTTCAATGTGACACGCATGATGGGAAGAAGGAAGTGCTTTCAACAACAAAAACTACTTCGAGATGGCTTATTTTGAGGAGGTAATCCAACGAACGTGAATGCGCTGCCTCGAAATATTCCGTAAGCACTCTTTCCATCCAGAGTGAGGAGTGAATGCACATCGCTTTGGCATTGTCAAAAACCAGGTCTGCATTAATTTTAGGTTAGATTGACAGGAGCTACACAAACAAACAGGTGCACAAGTATGACCGCTCCTCCTGTCCTCAATTTCACGCAGCCCTTACTGCCTTCCCGCCCCTCTCCTCTACCCTTCTCCTCCCCTCCTCCCTTCCTCCCATCCTCCTATTCACCCTCCTCCCGTATCCTCTCATTCCACCTCCTCTCCCCTCATCCCCACTCCCCCCTCCCCCCTCCCCCCTCCCCCTCCTTCCATCTCCACCTTCGGCCGCACCCATCCTTTCACCTCATCGTCATTTCTGTCACTGTCATGTCTTTCGCATGAGCGGCAGTCCTCACTACATGACAACAAGTCACTTATCTCAAAAATGCCGCTTCGTTTTACACGCATCACTCCAAGAAAGTGAAGTCCACGCTGATCAATTCACGAGTAAAGAAACACACAGGCATGCATGAACCAACTGAAGAAGAAGGTGACATTGCCCTGTTAGTGCATTGGGGTAAAGTGAGGATATTTCAAAGCAGAATCCGTCCCTCCCCTCTTCCACCACATGTCCTCCCCCCCCCCCCACCCTCTTCAATGAATGGCCAGTGTGTCAAATCCACTCCTACCTGGACAGCTCAGTTACAGTCAGACCTCCTCACTTGACAGCCTTTCCGGCATCTGGCGGACAGAGGAAGTGATAGTAAACAAGAGGTCAGTTACAACGTGTCACGCACACTCCAGCTGGTTTCTTCCTCACATGACCTCCCCCTTTTCAGTGGCGTCTTCACCACTCCCCTTCCAGTCCGCATCTTCGTTGCATTGTACACTCTACGTCCCGCCACTCTACTCCACTCTACTACAATCCGTCACCCTGCACAGCAGCTCTTCTCAAATGTGGACAGGCTCATCACGATACTCGCCAAATAAACAGTCATTTGTTCAACAGTGTACGCCTTCACAACTACCTCACTCTTCACCTCTCCACTCTTTATCCATCCCTCCATCCATCCATTCACTCAGAGATCGACCGAGTCATCCGCTACCACATCCCCACGCGGCCCATTCTCAATCATCTGGTTGAAGGCACCTGACGTCTCCAATTCACTCACTCGCCTTCTGTCGTGCACCTTAGCCTCCACGATGATTCTACGCTGATTAGGTTTCACACGTGGCTAAAGCACTTTGGCGGCTTATTCTGGAAAAGTTGCCACTCCCAACAGAAGGTCTAATGGAAGGAAGTGATCACATTTTAGTTCCTACTCTGAAAATTGACCAACGCTGATTCCTCCACAATACTCCCCTCATCCTCTAAACACCACTACCCCATTGTGCAGCAGCTTTACAAGCATTGCATACATCTCCAACACATAAATCCTCTGCACATCCGAGCCTTAGCCCCATCAGTACAAAGGCAATGGGAATTCCACCTTACTCCAATCTGATGACAATCAATGACGTCACCTCCCCTCAGTCACTCCGTCAGTTGTCATTTCAATAGCCCACTCACCCACTTCCTATCCAACCATCTGAAGTCGTTCATTCCCGTTACGCGTTGTGTCCTCTGCGCCCACCCAATGGAGGCACTGGACTCACCCTGGTAAAGATGCTCCCTTTCCACTCAAACTCACCTCCTCTGCTTCTCATTGTTTAGCCTTTAAACACCAACACCGTATGCGACATGAGTAGGTCACTTGGGCAAATTGCTCAGTGATGACTTGATTCCCCTTAAGAGAGACGCTGCCTCCATCAGTTGAAATCGAGGCGGAAATGCTCTCCAGCTGGTCACAATGTCAAATCATCCACAGCTGCTAAGGCGATGTGACGACGGTTAACACCACTTGCCCTCACATTAACCACATCACCACCACTAAGTGAAGCCATCGACACCGGTCATTTCACACGCAGTCACGCAATATCTTGTTGCAATCATCAGCCTATCCTCATGGGGTCTAGGTCTGTGCCTCGGTCTGACTCCATGTCCTCCCATCTGTTGATGTGTGGCTGCCTCTCAACTGAAGTCATCACTGTTCAGCTACACCGACGGTGTTGAATACTGAACAACAACCTCTGACGTCCATTCATTCCACTCTCGGTTGCATAGCTCGTATCGCACCACCAAGTTGACCTACAGCAATGCCAACTTCATAGCAGTTCCAAATGGCCTACACTCTCCCAATGAACTAAGTGTGAGGGTGTGCAAAACAAGGAGGTGGCCAGGTGACTAGTCTCGCCCAGCCCCACCTCCTACTTCTACATAAAAGGTCGGCATGTGGATTGGTGACTAACGAGGCAGAAGTGAGTAGCCGTGGTACTTGGAATATTCTGCTCATCCAACTATCTTCTCATCATTTCACCATCTCTCGGGAGGTGGAGGTCACAACACTTTCGCAGGTGAATTAATTCAACTGGGGCAAATCACCTGTCAATTGTTACCTTCCAAAGCCAATCTATTCAACCCGAGCTCTTACCCACATCTACATGTGTAAGCACCATGCGGTTGACATTGTAAAGTCAAACTTCTTCACTGCATGGAGAAGGAAATAAATGAAAGATCGGAAGAGCAAAGTACTTGACTTGAAGGAAAATTCTACGTCAGTCATTTCCAAGAGTTTGAATTTTGAGCTTGTATATTCACCGCTCATGTCCCATTGTAAACTCCCATTAGTTTTCGCAGCTTGAGGCAAACTCTCCCAGATAAAAAAGTCGCTTCTTTGTAGTCAATTTCCTCACTTAACTCTCCGGCTAAACGCTAGACTGTTCCGCATTGCTTTTTGAGCGATGCGTATTTGGTCAGGCTCAGCAATTCGCCGACCAGGCGCACCAGCCAACACCCTCTCGAACGTCAAAAGTGGGGAAAAGAAGGTCTCTCGCAAAAAAAAGTCCCCAGATCAGTGGCACTAACTGCTTGCAACGGGTATCTGTGTGTGTATGGCCGACAAACAGTGTCAACAGATTGTGATTTTTATTGTTGAATTTGCAATACCCCTCCACCAATCAGATTACCGCGCTGTTCTGCTCATTTGCCTTCCCTGGGTTGATGCACAAATTGCGAGGAGACAGAGGGCGTTAGAAGGGGAGAAAGACAGAAGGCGAGAGATAGGGAATTATACTTTTAGGCGGATGCGTTCGCCTGTTTACAAGTCTTTCTGTTTTCTAAGAAGAATCAACAAAGGATCCCCAAATCAATGGCTTTGCGAATTTCTTAGAGGGAAATCCTATACACTTGCTTTAACTATTCGCCTTCATATGATGTCTCTGAATTATTACTTGTATCCACAAGAGAGAACTCTTAGAAGGCTTGAGAATGATCTTGTCATTGTGTACAAGCACTGTTTTTATGAGAAACCACTAAGGGTATAATAAACTTGCCTTTACCTAGTCTAAATAGACCTATTCAAACAAATTGTCTTTATAATTTATTCCCACTTCTGCAAAAATAACTTAAAATCTACTTAGATAAATCAGAGTTTGATGGAAAAAAAATTTCATTGGTCATTCTCCTTCACTTACATCTCGCGCCGAAGTGTTTTTTTTACTGGTTTCATAATCTTTATTTTTATGTTTTTGGCACTTTTTAAAAAACCTTTTGTTGATTTTCTAATCATTTTCTGGTATTTGGCGGATTATTTTACAAATTTAAATTAAATATATCAATGTCCTGTAAATTTTGACTACCTTTTTACGCGTGGACGCCAAATCTACCGTTGCGCGAGTAGGTAAAATCGCCTGCGTTTAAAGCCATCAGCCTTCCAGTTTTTCATTATTTCTTTTTAAGTAGAAAATGTTTACGGACCGACCGTCTTATAAAAAATGCCACTTTTTACCCCAACCATCTGGAGTACACTCCAAAGTGTGAACTTTTTTACTACTGCAGCTTGAAACTTTTTTTCTGTTCTAAATCGGTGCTTATGATGGAGTACCGACTTTTAGGAGAGCGACTACTGATCTGGATTGTGTAAATCAAGACGAAAAAGAGGGCAAGAAATAAGCATCAAATGCGCAAAATGGGTCGTAAGAAATGTAGGTTGGGCCACTCTTTATTCCTCCATCAGAAGTAGCGAAAAATTGTCGACGTCTAGAAGTGGTTTTTTTTCCTAAGGCTCTAGTCTCATCAAACCTTGTGATTGCTATCGGTCACCAGCCTCCCACTCGCTTTCTTTTCCACTAATATACTTGAACGTGCTGTAAGTGAATGAATCTGGAAGAGGCACTGAGTGAGGATCTACGAATGGCTTTGGAAAGGGCTGAATGCCTGAGTCCAGAACGGTTGGCCAGGCACATCGAAAAAACGGTTTCGAGGTAGCTGGCTAGATGTCGGAAGAGATAGTCCATTAAAACTGCTCCGTTGAATTGACCCACTGAGAAGTTTATCTCAGGCGACCTTACCTCATGCTTGTTTATGATTTTTCGCAGCTGTCATGGTCAGAAATTGTCGGGAGAGTAAATCAAGCACCAGTGTAAAATCCATTTTATTTTTCACTGTGCAGAGGAGGCAGCGAAAGTTCCTTCCAGGCAGAGAAGCGCATTCCTACCGGCCTTTTCGTGTTCATTCACGTATGTTCTCTCATCTTTGTTCTCTCATGTTTTAATTCGCACCTCTGATAGTTGTGCTTCCTTTGAAGAAGCCATTCAAAAAACTACATTCGCATATTTTTTTACTCTGTCTTTAATGAAAGGGTGTGATATTAATTGAACAGGCAGGTGATTTAAATGAAGGGACACTTTTCACCTGTCAAGGTCATTGGGATTCAATAAAACAGCAGTTGAGAAGTTGGTTCTCGAAATTATGTTTAAAGGCCAGCATAAAATTTTCCTTGTAAAACCCCGATCTGAAAGTGCATGGAAAATGAGTGATTTACGATTTGAAGGATAATCGGACCATTTTCATTTGGATCTGAAATCAAAAATGCGATTGCAGATGACTTCAAACTGGAAGTTTACGTATGGATGAGTTCTAATGCACCACCTTGGGCATTTTTTTAGTTACGCGGAAACCTAAGGCTCCGCTGTTGTCCTTTTAGTCGACGCCATAGTCTCTAAACCATGACAGAAGCCACTTAATCCTTCTAAAAGATTAAGTAAAATACGCCACTTTATGGGATAAACTGTAAGCACAAGACAATTGTTTGTTTAATGGAGGATGAGTTTAAGTGAATTTCTGATAAAAAAGAAAACGAGAAAACTCTAAACCCATCGTATCAAAAGTCTTTGGCGTGGTGGGCTGTCCATTTTACTGTGCAGTCTGTGAAAATAAGTTACTTCTTTTAAAAAAATTTTAATTAAAAAGTTCAGAAAAAGATAATTTGTTTTGTTAAGAAAAACTGCTGTCAGGCAGTCGACTGCTATCAATGCATCCAGTGCGCTGGCATGAGGTTTCAAGGGCTTTTCCTGTACCGCGTTCACCGGATAACTTCTTCTCGATCAAGTCAAAGCACGATGGCGTCACGGAGATCTTCCATAGCCGTACTTGCTTTCTTCAATTGACCTTGACAATCCAACTACAGAGATGGCAAACGTCTACATTTCAGCTACTCATTGCACCACTACCGCAACCCCCACTACTTATATCCAATTCAGTGGGTACCGAAAAGGCAGGTAACCGTTAGGTTGGGTTGCACCAGGTCAAGTTAGGCTAAATTACGTTAGGGTAAAGCGACAAAGACAGAGAGTTGGTCTTCCGCGTGGGCAAAACGAAAGGGCAGCAAGTGTTGGTCCTGATTCCTCGCGTCAATCAGACCTGTCAAATACACAAATCCCTCCCTCGTTGATGGTGCTGTTGCAAGTGTTGTCGGCGATATGTCAGTCTGACTACGCATTGCCTGTGCGGTGAAACGGAGGTGGAGGCGAAGGCGAAGGCGAAGGCAGAGGTGGTGGAGGTGGAGGTGGAGGTGAGGGACATGGAGAGGACGTGGTGAGGGACATGGGGAGGGAGAAGGAGAAGGGGGAGGAGGGAGGAGAAGGCGTACTGGTGTTTGTGTAGTTAGCGTTGGTTACTGGTTGATTTGCACACTTGGTGCAAATGCCAATGCACTCCATTGAAGAAGTGTGTTTACCCAGCAAATCAGTGGGTTGTGGGTCGCAGGTGAATTAATTCAACTGGGGCAAATCACCTGTCAATTGTTACCTTCCAAAGCCAATCTATTCAACCCGAGCTCTTACCCACATCTACATGTGTAAGCACCATGCGGTTGACATTGTAAAGTCAAACTTCTTCACTGCATGGAGAAGGAAATAAATGAAAGATCGGAAGAGCAAAGTACTTGACTTGAAGGAAAATTCTACGTCAGTCATTTCCAAGAGTTTGAATTTTGAGCTTGTATATTCACCGCTCATGTCCCATTGTAAACTCCCATTAGTTTTCGCAGCTTGAGGCAAACTCTCCCAGATAAAAAAGTCGCTTCTTTGTAGTCAATTTCCTCACTTAACTCTCCGGCTAAACGCTAGACTGTTCCGCATTGCTTTTTGAGCGATGCGTATTTGGTCAGGCTCAGCAATTCGCCGACCAGGCGCACCAGCCAACACCCTCTCGAACGTCAAAAGTGGGGAAAAGAAGGTCTCTCGCAAAAAAAAGTCCCCAGATCAGTGGCACTAACTGCTTGCAACGGGTATCTGTGTGTGTATGGCCGACAAACAGTGTCAACAGATTGTGATTTTTATTGTTGAATTTGCAATACCCCTCCACCAATCAGATTACCGCGCTGTTCTGCTCATTTGCCTTCCCTGGGTTGATGCACAAATTGCGAGGAGACAGAGGGCGTTAGAAGGGGAGAAAGACAGAAGGCGAGAGATAGGGAATTATACTTTTAGGCGGATGCGTTCGCCTGTTTACAAGTCTTTCTGTTTTCTAAGAAGAATCAACAAAGGATCCCCAAATCAATGGCTTTGCGAATTTCTTAGAGGGAAATCCTATACACTTGCTTTAACTATTCGCCTTCATATGATGTCTCTGAATTATTACTTGTATCCACAAGAGAGAACTCTTAGAAGGCTTGAGAATGATCTTGTCATTGTGTACAAGCACTGTTTTTATGAGAAACCACTAAGGGTATAATAAACTTGCCTTTACCTAGTCTAAATAGACCTATTCAAACAAATTGTCTTTATAATTTATTCCCACTTCTGCAAAAATAACTTAAAATCTACTTAGATAAATCAGAGTTTGATGGAAAAAAAATTTCATTGGTCATTCTCCTTCACTTACATCTCGCGCCGAAGTGTTTTTTTTACTGGTTTCATAATCTTTATTTTTATGTTTTTGGCACTTTTTAAAAAACCTTTTGTTGATTTTCTAATCATTTTCTGGTATTTGGCGGATTATTTTACAAATTTAAATTAAATATATCAATGTCCTGTAAATTTTGACTACCTTTTTACGCGTGGACGCCAAATCTACCGTTGCGCGAGTAGGTAAAATCGCCTGCGTTTAAAGCCATCAGCCTTCCAGTTTTTCATTATTTCTTTTTAAGTAGAAAATGTTTACGGACCGACCGTCTTATAAAAAATGCCACTTTTTACCCCAACCATCTGGAGTACACTCCAAAGTGTGAACTTTTTTACTACTGCAGCTTGAAACTTTTTTTCTGTTCTAAATCGGTGCTTATGATGGAGTACCGACTTTTAGGAGAGCGACTACTGATCTGGATTGTGTAAATCAAGACGAAAAAGAGGGCAAGAAATAAGCATCAAATGCGCAAAATGGGTCGTAAGAAATGTAGGTTGGGCCACTCTTTATTCCTCCATCAGAAGTAGCGAAAAATTGTCGACGTCTAGAAGTGGTTTTTTTTCCTAAGGCTCTAGTCTCATCAAACCTTGTGATTGCTATCGGTCACCAGCCTCCCACTCGCTTTCTTTTCCACTAATATACTTGAACGTGCTGTAAGTGAATGAATCTGGAAGAGGCACTGAGTGAGGATCTACGAATGGCTTTGGAAAGGGCTGAATGCCTGAGTCCAGAACGGTTGGCCAGGCACATCGAAAAAACGGTTTCGAGGTAGCTGGCTAGATGTCGGAAGAGATAGTCCATTAAAACTGCTCCGTTGAATTGACCCACTGAGAAGTTTATCTCAGGCGACCTTACCTCATGCTTGTTTATGATTTTTCGCAGCTGTCATGGTCAGAAATTGTCGGGAGAGTAAATCAAGCACCAGTGTAAAATCCATTTTATTTTTCACTGTGCAGAGGAGGCAGCGAAAGTTCCTTCCAGGCAGAGAAGCGCATTCCTACCGGCCTTTTCGTGTTCATTCACGTATGTTCTCTCATCTTTGTTCTCTCATGTTTTAATTCGCACCTCTGATAGTTGTGCTTCCTTTGAAGAAGCCATTCAAAAAACTACATTCGCATATTTTTTTACTCTGTCTTTAATGAAAGGGTGTGATATTAATTGAACAGGCAGGTGATTTAAATGAAGGGACACTTTTCACCTGTCAAGGTCATTGGGATTCAATAAAACAGCAGTTGAGAAGTTGGTTCTCGAAATTATGTTTAAAGGCCAGCATAAAATTTTCCTTGTAAAACCCCGATCTGAAAGTGCATGGAAAATGAGTGATTTACGATTTGAAGGATAATCGGACCATTTTCATTTGGATCTGAAATCAAAAATGCGATTGCAGATGACTTCAAACTGGAAGTTTACGTATGGATGAGTTCTAATGCACCACCTTGGGCATTTTTTTAGTTACGCGGAAACCTAAGGCTCCGCTGTTGTCCTTTTAGTCGACGCCATAGTCTCTAAACCATGACAGAAGCCACTTAATCCTTCTAAAAGATTAAGTAAAATACGCCACTTTATGGGATAAACTGTAAGCACAAGACAATTGTTTGTTTAATGGAGGATGAGTTTAAGTGAATTTCTGATAAAAAAGAAAACGAGAAAACTCTAAACCCATCGTATCAAAAGTCTTTGGCGTGGTGGGCTGTCCATTTTACTGTGCAGTCTGTGAAAATAAGTTACTTCTTTTAAAAAAATTTTAATTAAAAAGTTCAGAAAAAGATAATTTGTTTTGTTAAGAAAAACTGCTGTCAGGCAGTCGACTGCTATCAATGCATCCAGTGCGCTGGCATGAGGTTTCAAGGGCTTTTCCTGTACCGCGTTCACCGGATAACTTCTTCTCGATCAAGTCAAAGCACGATGGCGTCACGGAGATCTTCCATAGCCGTACTTGCTTTCTTCAATTGACCTTGACAATCCAACTACAGAGATGGCAAACGTCTACATTTCAGCTACTCATTGCACCACTACCGCAACCCCCACTACTTATATCCAATTCAGTGGGTACCGAAAAGGCAGGTAACCGTTAGGTTGGGTTGCACCAGGTCAAGTTAGGCTAAATTACGTTAGGGTAAAGCGACAAAGACAGAGAGTTGGTCTTCCGCGTGGGCAAAACGAAAGGGCAGCAAGTGTTGGTCCTGATTCCTCGCGTCAATCAGACCTGTCAAATACACAAATCCCTCCCTCGTTGATGGTGCTGTTGCAAGTGTTGTCGGCGATATGTCAGTCTGACTACGCATTGCCTGTGCGGTGAAACGGAGGTGGAGGCGAAGGCGAAGGCGAAGGCAGAGGTGGTGGAGGTGGAGGTGGAGGTGAGGGACATGGAGAGGACGTGGTGAGGGACATGGGGAGGGAGAAGGAGAAGGGGGAGGAGGGAGGAGAAGGCGTACTGGTGTTTGTGTAGTTAGCGTTGGTTACTGGTTGATTTGCACACTTGGTGCAAATGCCAATGCACTCCATTGAAGAAGTGTGTTTACCCAGCAAATCAGTGGGTTGTGGG